CCGTTATTAGCATTCGTCTATTTTAGACACCTGAAATATAAGGAGGATTATCTTCATTAAAAAAGGGTGTGGGTGTGCCTCTGTGAATCTTAACCCTCAACCACACCCACATCCATACCCATATCCACACCCACACCCCCCCCACCCACCCCCACCCCCACCCCACCCACACCCACCCCACCCACACCCCACACCCACCCACACCCCACACCCACATCCCACACCCTTTGATCATAAACTAATCATCAAAACCTGATTTTATTCTTGCAATATTACATTTGTTCGAAGGATGTGAATATTAGTATCGATTTCAGCCAGTTAGACCCATGCAGACACACATATATTCTTTACATGTCCACATTCCCAACCACCTAATATTATTCCCTTCAAATAAGTGATCTTCTAAATGACCGCGTTTGTCATTCATTTTCTGACAGGATTGAATTTTCTTATTATCTGCATGGAATGTAAATTTGGCTCCATCCTTCGGTTTCTTATTTCATGCCAGTTCGAATAAAATCAAAGTAGAAGAACAATAGAGCGTATGATGACATACAAGGCGAAGTTTTTCCTTTAGTGCAATGTATTCATATGGCTGAATGAAAGAATCAGAAAGATTCTTGTGTGTTAACCAGCAATGTGCCTTTCTAGTTTCCAGAAACTCAGAAATCTTTTCCTCAACTACGTTTCTTGTGCTTTTCTCACATCTGTATTATTCCCTGTTGCCATATCACATTTGTATATTTCTTTTCAAAACTATACGTTCTAGATTAAGAATTCAACATATTTACCTTGCAATGGGTCAAAGAATCCCATAAATTTAATCATAAATCTGCCGTTCTCTTGACAGTCGGAGGAGCAAAACTCTTTATTTTCGATTTTTCTATCTCAAAAGAAAATTCGTAGTCTGAAATCTTTAAATTCAAAGTTTCAGTCCTTTCTTACTTGTTTATGAAGGTGTGTATTTTTATAGCTGTAGGTGTGAATATCTGAGTGTGAAGTGTAGGTATTAGAATGAGTCGTTTCTTCACATATCAATACCTACGTTCACATTCACATCCTCCAAATATGTTTCAAGCTGAAAGGTAAATTATTTTGCCTTTTTGTAGAATGTGTATGAAGTACTTATGATTGGCTATCATCCTACGTAATTGACAACATCAAATATGAAAAATTAATTTTTGTTGTGTAGTATTTGCTCTTCAGAGCATTTTCATATCTTCATACTCTTTCGAACGCTTTTTTGTATTATTAACTTGAATATTCAAGATTCATCTTGTCTGTAATTCTAAATTCAATTTTTAACATTAAATATGCACATGTTACTTGAAGAACTTCACCTTATTCCTATCAAATTAGATCAATTAAAATTTCTTCTTAGCCTCATATCTCTCCTCTATCTCTTCTTATTAATTATTACTCTTGACGATACATTAGAAGATTTTACCAATATCTATCAGTTGATTATTAATTTAGTGATATTCAAATCGATTAAAAATTTATCTAAAATTTGTCGAATTACGATTGTAATGTTGATGTATTGATTGGCACTATACATTTGTACATGCTCTGACTTAATTGTCTGTTTTATAAAGTATGATGGATTGAATATTCAAAGATCACAAGTGAAATATTGACGACATCATTTATATTAATAGATGACTCAGACCATGTCAACTATAACCGATTCTATTCGATGTATAGGTCCCAAACTTTTGCTTTTATCATCAAGGAGTCTTTGTCTCAGAAATGTTCAGAAAAAAAAGTTTGATCAATATTCATTGGCTATATGTCTCATTCTCTTCTTCAGTTCCTTTAATTAAACTAATATATTAAATGTAAATTCTTTTCTTTCTCGACCGAATGTTATGTAGGAATTCAATAGACCTTTCGAAACTTTTTTCAAAAAAAATGATATGATTGCCTTGAATATAATCTGTGACCAAGACATTTTAGTCAAATTCACAATGTTCATGAGTACCAAAACTTTTATTCTCATAAAAAAGTTCTACAATTGATACAACAAACCTTATTATAATTAAAAGTAAAATTTTGCACAATCAATTTTCGCACGATCAAAACTTTGTCCATTTTGAAACCAAAAAAAATATGACTATAAACTAAGCAATCTTATGTAAATCGTAAAGCTTTTCATATTATATCTTATGGTATATTTTTCTTTTTAACAAAAAACGTATTAAATGACGAAAAAAAAAATATACAAAATGCAATCATTTATTATGTCCCATTCATAAGTACTGCAAAATTTTTTTTTTCTTTCCTATACAACTGACAATAAAAACGTTTTATATTCGTTCTTTTTTTTTCTATTTATAATTTAATACAATAAAATTAAGATCATTACAACATTTGAACGGTTTTTCTTTGTATAGTTGTATTAATAATTGCTATTTGATTTCTATGTGTTATAAAACGTATATTTAATCGACGTTTAAAATAAATAAATAATGGTATTTTAGAATAGATTTCAGGTAAATTTAATAAACATATAAATGGTAATATTAATGATATAAAATAGAAAAAATAAAGAAAAATATCTTCTTGTATTTCTGATTCTTGTATATTATTTGTTAAAGTTTTCCATATATGTATAAGTTCACTAATAGCAACAGGTAATGTACCAAGAAAATATAATATTGATATAGATATAAATTGTATAGTAATTTTTCTATGTTGTCTCCATCGTATTATTTGATGTCGTTGTCTTTTACCCCATAAAAAACGTATTAATAATAATAAACTAAAAAAAAATATTAATACTGATGAAAAAATTTTATGTAATAAATAATCAATTGATGATAATATGATATTTTTATGTATATAACATGGTTTACCACAAAATAATTCATCATATATAAAATTTTCAATATTTGAACATGATGAATTAAAAAAAATAATAATTATATAAAATATAAATGTATATATAATAAGAATAATTAATGGTAAATAATGAAAAAAAAAACGTTTATATTTTGTATTAAGTAATTGACGATCATAAAAAACAAATATATTACGTTCAATAGATGCCCACATCATTAAAAATGTTGATAAATTTGATAGAAATGAATCAAGAAAATTCCATAAAAGACATAAATTTCCTTGAGTTTTTTCTAGAAAGCCATTACGAAGAAAATGAAATGTTATTGATAAATCAATTGTTATAAAAAAAAAATTTACAATTAATAATATTAATATAACATGATTATGTAAAGCTCGTCGTAATGTTCGATTAGTTAGTAAATAATAAATAATAAAAATATGACATATAATTGATGGAATTTGAAAACTAATCAATAATCCTAGTTTAATATATCTTGAAATATTTGTGTCATGTCCAGATATCATCTTAGACTGATTCAACTTTTCTTGTATCATCTATAAAAATTCATAATTATAACAAAAAAAAAAAAAAAATCTATTTTAATATATCAAAAAAAGAAAACAAAGAATTTTCTAATTGACGAATAGATTCATGTGAAGAATATAATTTATAATTAGAATGAATAATGAATGGTTAGAATAAAAGAACTACAAGTGATACTCAAACTAATAATTTTTATCAACTATTCAAGATAAAACAAAAAAAAAGAAGAAAAAGAATTACTAACTGATAGAAAATGAGCTTCAGTAAAATTTTGTGAATTTCTGTTACTTATATAATTTGTTTATTTAAGATTTATATACTTTTCAGTTTTTTAGAAAAAGATTATTTTTTTTTTGAAATAAATTCTTTTTAGTTTAGACATAGTATAAAAATTTTGACTATTAAATAAAAAATAATTAATAAATTTCTCTTTAATATATGACAAAAGAAATTTTTGTCTTACTATCATCTAGAAATTTTGAAAAAAAGATTTATAATTGATTTTAAACTCTTCATTCGCTTATTATTCTAACGAAAAGTAAATTTAGTTGTGTTTTAATTCGGAATGTTTCTAAATTAAAATATACTTCATAAAACTAATTTTTCTAGGGTATGTTGAGTAAATTAATATATCAAAATATTCATTACCCTGAGATAATATACATAATTTGTTTTTGTAAAGTATAAAATTTGTAATGTTTTTTTTTTCCTTACTAACTTTGAAACACGAAGCGAACCGAACGTAAAAGTACACTAAATAAAAATGCCACTCTTTTACTAATATTTCCAGGTATTCTGTCATGCTTATTTTTTTTCTCGGTTATTCTTTCCTGTTGTCATCTTTTTCTTTTTTTTTTGTTGTTGATTTTACTAGATAAACTTTTGATAGATATAAGATAATCATATTAGGCAAACATGAAGTAGTTCAATAAACATCATAATTAAAATTAATGTATAGCTACTTGTTAGGTTTCATATAGTTAATCTTTCTTTATAATGAGAAAAGAAAAAAAAAAAAAAAAAGCAACTTCAATAAAATTATTATAATAATAGACAAACATAAAAATGGAAGATATACGCGTAAATCTTTAGTAATAGAAAAATCTCTCAAGTTAATGACAAATATAATTTTACATAGCAGAAAAATATTCTTCAATTTATTTTATAATCTATTCATGATTCTGACAATATATATCAATGTTTGAAATAATTATAAAAAAGTTGTCAAATTAGTTGATGAATTTTATTTTAGTTTTTTTTTTTTTTTATATGTATCTCAAAGATTAGATGAATTGTAATGATCCAATTTTTTATCAAATTACAAAGTCATAATATCTTATATATCTAATGAAGAAATTCTAGATTAATCAATTGATTTATTTTTTTTTAACTAATAATATGATTGTAATATGTCGATTTTCAACATTACAAATTTTTATTGTGTTATATATATATAGATTTAATAGAATAAATTGTATTTTTATATAATGAATA